TGGTTAGAGTCGGGGGGGGAGCCAGGACTCCTGGGTTCCATTCCCAGCTCCAGGGAAAGACTGGGATCTAGGGGGTGGGGGGAGTTAGGATTCTGCACAGACTCTCTTTCCCCCGTGGCCTCCAAGCAGGCGTTCCATCGCTGGGAACAGCTACTGCCCCTTGCCAGCCCGGCCGGGATGCCAGCTGCTGTAGGAAGTCTCTGCATGCCCAGCCAGTGGATCATGCCAGTCCCCTGCTCTTCCACCTCCCCAGCAGCTTCTTGACCCACCTGCCTCCTCCTGGGAGCCCCTGCAGGGCAGGTAGCAGGGACCTGGAATAACTCGAATGATCCCAGCTGCAGCCTCCCCTCCCTGAGCTGGGGATAGAACCCAGGAGTCCTGGCTCCCAGCCCCCTGCTCTAACCACTAAACCCCACTCCCCTCCCAGAGCTGGGGATAGGACCCAGGAGTCCTGGCTCCCAGCCCCCCTGCTCTAACTCCTAGACCACGCTTCCCTCCCAGAGCTGGGGATAGAACCCAGGAGTCCTGGCACCCAGCCCCCAGCTCTAACCACTAGACCCCACTCCCCTCCTTGGATGGAAGGAGTCGGCCCCTTTCACCTTCCTGTGGGCGGCCGATACCTGATCTGCCATTACCTCTGGCTGCCCGTGCGCAGCCTGCTTGGGAATTGGTACGGTTCCAAACCAGGGCCCCCTCTCCCCCCACACCACGGGAGGGAAACCGAGTCCCTCCCAGAGCTCAGTTCCAGCCCTGTGGCCCTGAGCCAGCTGACACCCCCACTGCCCTCCTCCCCGGGGGGCACCAACAAGCAGGTTCCACTGTCTGGCCGGAGGGTGGGGACGACGGAGGGAGCAGCCAGAGAAGGGGCTGGGCTGGGGCATCGGCCCCGCTCCCTCCCCCTGGGTGTCTTGAGGCGTCCCCACCCAGGGGAGCACCTGAGAGGGACAAGGGCTGGGGTCGCTCTGGGGTCACCACTGGTGCCGGCTGGGCCTGGCCCGGAGAGCCCCCCCTGCTCCCCCAGGACGGCTGGGTGATTTTGTCTCCATCACAGGGCAGATGCAATCTGGGGGCGGGGGGGGGAGATAATGGGGGATCCCAGGCCAATCTCCTGGGAGGGGCCTCGGCTGCCCAGGACTGATCCCCCTCGTCCCAGCGTCTGGCTCTGACAGTTGGCACGAGCAAGCAGCTGGGGGGGGGGAGGGGGTGTCTCCATCTCTACGGCCTGGGGTGTCTCCCCCACCTGGGATCTCTCAGCACAGACAGCCGGCTGCCTGGGCCCCGGCGGCTTTATAAAGCAAACCATGCCTTATATAGAGCCACCCCGCTCCTGGGCCCGGCTCTGCAGAATCCCCAAAGCCAACCATATATGGCCAGCCGGCCGCCGGGCACAGAGCGGGCTGGCCAGAAAGGTAGCTGAAGAATTCAAAGCAGGGAGAGCCCTAGACAAGGGCTGCGGGTTCTGGCTGGCTTGTAATCACTGACCAGGGACACTGGGGGGGCTAGCCCTGCCCCCCTGCTTTGGATCTGGGGGGAGCAGAGCATCAAAGCAGGGTGAACCCCCCCCCCCGGACACGTGGGGGTCACAGATCAGCAGTAGCGGTTAGCAGCGAATCTGACCAGTGGGATGGGAGGAGGTGTGCGTATTTAACCCTTGCTGGGCCCCAGCTGTGAGCCCCCAAAGGAGCCCAGCACTGGAGCTGTTGTTCCTCCCGGCGATGCGTCTGCGTCCCCTGGGGGCACGAGGGATGCAGAGAGCTGGGGATGGGGCGGGGGGAGCCCTGCTTCGGCTCACGGGTGGAGGAGCCAAGCGGCAGGAAACCAGGAGGTGACCCCGAAACCCGGGTCCGGGGAGCCCCTCGGGAGTAGGGCCAGGGCCTGAGAGCAGGGAGCCCGGGTCCCCCAGCATTGTTACAGAATGTCGCCCCCTTCTCAGGGGAGGCCCCCCTAGTGGGGGAGGGGTGCAGATCCATGTTAATTTTGGGGGAGCCCGCTGCCGTTCAGAGATTGTGGGGGGCTCCTTTCATTCCGTGGCTGTGCTGAATGGAAGAGTCCCCCGGCGCTACCTCTGCCACCCGGGGTTTTCTGTGGGGACCTGGGGCTTGACTTTCCCTCCCCGTGGTTGTTGGCTGCTCCCCACCCCAGAGGTGGCTGCGTTTTGGCGGGGCTGTGTGTGTAGGAGGCCCCCAAAGTGCACTGGGCTCCTTCGGGGTGAAGCGCTCTCTGGGAATGTATAATACTGGGGAGCAGTGACAGTTTGGGGGTGAAGTCCCAGGTCCCCTCGCCCGGCTCCCCAGTGACATCGAAGCATAGGGAGAGGAGCCCCCACCACTTCCTCTTGGCTGCAGTAGGAAACAACACGTGCTCTAAGCTAGCTAGGCCTCATGTGTCCTACGCCCCTCATCCTGGTATCTGGGCAGCCCTCTGCCCCCCCGTGCTTTCATGCCCTGATCTGGGGACCCTACTGGATTAGGGTCACGCCCAGCACTTCAGCAGCAAAGCCATTACCCCCATTTTACAGACAGGGAAACTGAGGCACAGAGCGGCAAAGGCCATAGAGGGGAGTCAGTGTGAGATCTGGGACTAGAACCCAGGAGTCCTGACTCCCAGCCCCCGGCTCTAACTGCTAGACCCCACTCCCTGAGACATAGCAGCACTTCGCTGTATCAGTATCATGTCTCATACCAGCTACGTCCTGGCTGAGTCCTGACTGTGGCTGCAGGGGTGGGGTGGGGGGTACATGTTCCTGAGCGAGGGGCCGGGGGGGGTACATGTTCCTGAGCGAGGGGCCGGGGTGGGGGAGATATTCCCAGCTGAGACCTGAAAAGGGCCGGGGAGCCGGCGAGGGGCCCAGGGAGATTGTTTCCTGCCAGCTGGAGCTGCAAAGGAGAAGGCTCCCGCGCCAGCAGCGGGGAGAGCACAGGGAGGAGGCCGTGAGGTCAGAGGGCAAAGCCACAGTGAGGAGGGCAGGTGGGGCCAGCATCTCGAGCGGGGGGAGGGGAGATGTGGTCACACTTTCTCGGGCATGTGGGGAGGAAGGTAGCAACGTCCAGCATGTGCTGGAGCCGGAGGGGGAGGTGGGCAGGAGAATGGGGGGTGGGATCTAGGGAGCTGGGGGCTGCCGTTCCTAGGCCAGGGGGGATGGGGCTCTTGGGGGGGTTGGAGGAGGGGGGCGGCCGTAGCTCAAGCCAGAGGGGCTGTGGGGCTGGAGGGATTTAGATACCATCTGTATCCCAAGGGATGGAGAACCCTGGGCCCCGAGTCCTGGCGGGGGGCAGAGACGGCTCCCCTCTCTAGACGCCATAGGCCGGGGATGGGATGCTTTAATCATCTTCCCTGGCTCTCACCTAGCACTTTCCACTGTAGCCCTCACTGTGTTTGCCAAGGAGGGCATGAGCATTGTCCCCATTGTACAAGTGGGGAAACTGAGGCACGGAGGGCAAAGTGACTTGCCCAAGGTCTCCCAGCAGGCCAGTGGCAGAGCCGAGAATAGGCCCCAGGCCACTGCTGTGTGCCGGCCAGCAGGGGCCTTTCTGGTCAGTGGGGGAGGGGGTCTCACGTCTCAGCCCTGCGCTGTTCAGCCTGGGCTAATGCCCCCACACCCCACAGGGAAAGTTGGAGAGAAGGGGCTGATCTGCACCCTGGGTGGGCGCTGAGCCTGGGGATGGATAGTTAGGGGTGGGGGGAATCCCTGGCTGTCCCTTCCCCCACGGTAAATGCCCAGTGCTTTGGCAGGGGCGTGTTGGGAGCACGTGGGGCTCTGGTGTGCCCCCCCGCCCCCGGACATCAGGCTCCAAAGGGGGCGTGGAAGCCTGAGCAGCTTTGGGGGTGTGGGGAGAAATCCAGCTTGGAATGAGGCAGGTTCCCCCCAATGCAGAGAAGAGGGCTGCCCCCCCCCAAAGTCTGCTTTGGGCATCTGTCAGGGAGGGGGCGAGGGAGGGAGGATCGTCTCCAGGTCTGGCTAGCCCTGGCGGTGACACTGTAGCCCTGATCTCTGCCACCCCCACCCACCCCTCCCCAGTTCAGTCCCTTGCTGGGCTTCCACACCTGTCCTGCTACCCTGTCATCATTCATGTTTATTAGGTGTATTACGGTAGCACCCAGGCGCCCCAGCCATGGCCCCGGACCCCACTGTGCTAGGCGCGGTACATTATTTATTAGGTGTATTACGGTAGCACCCAGGAACACCCGTCATGGCCTGGGACCCCACTGTGCAAGGCGCTGTACAAACACACCCTCCTGGTTCCTTCTGGGCCCTTTCCCTGCCTCCCCTCCGCCCTGCTGTTTTAGAGACTCTTTTACAATAGGACGTCCTCTCCCAGCCCATGGGGGGCACACCCAACACCCTCTCCCCTTCCCTGCCCGTCTGTAACCCACGTTCCCTGGGCTAAGCCCCTGTTCTGCCCAGCTGCCGAAGGCCACTTTGTTTGCTTTGGGGGGGCTTGGTGAGGGGTGCTCCTTAAATCCTGTTCCCCCAGCAGCCCACGGGGTCTTGGTTCCTTTGCTCCCTGCTCTGAGCCATGGTTGCTGATTCGGCGGGGCAGCAAGTGCATAGATGGGGGCGCACAGGAAGGGTCAGTTTGGTCTTTCACCATTATCCAGCCTTCCCAGGGCAGCTGAGCTATAGGGGCAGAGAGAATCCTCTGGCTGGAGTTATACGAGTCATGAGATCAGACCCATGGGCCCATCCAGCATGGTGCCTCCCCATCCCTGCCACCCTGGGTCATACTAACGGACCCATCCACCACCAGTCCTTCCCAAGGTGTTCCACCATTGCAAAACCCCTTGCTCTGTGACCCTCTCCCACGGAGAACCAACTCCTTCCTGACCCCCAGCCAATGGCCAGCGTCTGCCCTGGAGCCTGAGGATGGCTTTTCCTTGGGAGCCGCCGGGCCCATCCTCCAAGGTAGTAGTGACCCACAAAGCATGGTCCCACATCCCGAGCTGCCACTGGCGCCGATCCTGAGCCACCCTGGTGTTTTGGGGGGCGATCCCCCCCTTACCTTGTTCTTGACCTCCGCTGACAGCCCGTAGGCCGGTCCCCGGTTGAAGTGTGCGGCGGACATCCTGCCTGCGTCGCCTCCGGCCTTGCTGGAGATGGGAGCCCTGCTTGGTGCCCTCTGCGCCTCTGCCTCTTCCTCGCTTTCCCTGCAACTTTTTAAAAGTCTTTGCTCTCCGGCTCTTCCCCCTCCGCATGTCCGAGGGGGAGCCCTTCCCATTGGCCGGCCAGCCCGGCCAATCGCTGCCCGCTGGGGACCCTGATGTCAGCCTGTTGGTATTAAGAAGTGATGGAGTCATTTTTTCCACCTTGGGGGCAACTGGGGCGGACGCTGCAAATATTTCGAGAACGCTGCGATTTATCAAGGCCGGACGGATTGCCAGAGGGCTGCAGCGTTACACTCGCCCTGCTCCAACTCTCCGCCACTTCCACACGCTTCTCTCCCCAGCCCTCTTCCTCCCCGCCACCTCCACGGCGCTCAAAGCCCGCTTGCCTCCTTAGGTTGTATTGGTCTCCCTCGCGGCATCTTCTCGGGCCAACCCCCTCGGCCCTCCTCTTTCACTGCACGCTGTGCCCCCCCCTTTCACAATTTGCAACCCAAAAGGAAAGTGTACCCCGGAACCCCAACATTTTCCAAATGGAGCCGGTGGGGGTGCGGTCCTTCCCTGCCAGTTCCTCTGGCCTTCTCGTCGGCTCTTGGTTTTGGACTCTCACTTTGCTTTGGCAGACGTTCCTCTGGATTTAAGATTTTCTTCCCCCATCAGGAATTTTTATAAACGACCCGAGTATGATTTCAAAACCCCGTCCGCTCCTTTGAAACAGCTGTGGAATAGATCAAACTCCAGATCCTCCCAGAGGCCACATGTGCAGATACCTCTCTGAGCAGAGAAGGGCATTGAAAATCCAGGCAGCCCCCAGTGGGATGAAGTTGGTTGCTAATTGTTAGTATTTATTAACTATTAATACTAATGAGGCTGCCTGGCTGGCACCTAAGCAGTTGTAGTTCACAGATGAACAGGTAGATGGGCATGAAGGAAGGATGGAGTCAATTTCCTGCTCCGACACAGACTTCCTGTAGGATCTTGGGCAAGTCACTTAGCCACTATGTGCCTGAGTTTCCCCATCCATGCTGGAATAATTGCCCTGCCTCACAGGGGCGCTGTGAGGAGAAATACATTAAAGATTGTGAGGTGCCCAGATACTACATAAGATCCTTTGGAAATGCCAGCCTAACGTAGAGCCCTGGCGTTCGATAAAATCATGTAGAGTTACTCCTGATTTACGCCAGCATCGCTGAGATCAGAATCAATCCCTCTCACTCCCAGCTCCATCAGGGCTACCAACCCAAACGCGCCCTCATAAATATCAGATGATGTCTCAAAAAACAACCTGACAGCTGCTGACAGCTGCGTCTGGC